TCCAGAGGGTGGACGCCCACCCGAGGAAAAGGACCAACTGATCTAACTATTCGACGTCCTGGGCGTAGGCTCGGCCTCACTATTTGCGTTTTCGCACGACAAGGCTGGAGGCAACTCGTCTACGGCTCCGGTAGTAGATGCAGCCGAAATTGGCAAACTCTTATCATAGATTCCCGTTGCCGGGTTCCACGATTGTCTGCTCTTCTCGTACCACTCCACAAGTTTTCGGCACAATAGCGGCCCGCAACCGTTACCCAAATGAAATCTGTCATCGGATATGTCTTTTTCCTCAAGCTCGGTAAGCTTATCTTCCAGAAAGAATACGCTAGGCTCGTTCGCGAAGACCTCTCGAATCATCTGGGTATTCGCATCGACAATCGAGTAGGCATTTTTGCTTGCATTCGTCGCCTGTGCATTGTCATAGGTTGCGGTCAACATGTCAATGTTGAGCATCACGAAGACACACTCCTCTATGGTTGAGGAGTACTGTTTCCAACGCAAGAGATTCTCGCGCATCCGCGAAGCTGTATCCCGCGAGATCGAATGGGCAGTGATGCTTCCACGATAAAAATCTGACCAATCATTCCCAGCCACCACGATCATCAAACACTTGCACTCACTACACGGACCTCCGAAATGATCTGTCACCTGCTGATCTCGCACGGCATACCACACGAAGTTTTCCGCTGATTCGAAGATCTTGGAATAGCGTTTTGCTTCCTTCGACCGAGGATGCATGCCCAGTCTTAACCCACAGAAGGCGCCGTTTCTCGAATCCGGGATGCCGATCGGGGTGAGGTCAAACCTAGCCCTTGGCCTCCCGTTACGCAGCCCCATCGAGTCAAAGACAACGGCGGTAGTCTGCAAGGGAAGCGCCATCTTGAATCAGACGCCCTTAGGATTCTATAGAGACTGTAGTACCCCAGAAAAGTCGAAGGATGCTGAAGGTTGCCTACGCGGGTACTAGGTCGAAGCTGTAGCTCCTTAATTGTCGGTTCTGATGCTTCTATCTCCCCTTGTTCGAGTCTGATCATGCAATGGACCGAGCCACCATCTACCAAATTACAGCCAATTAACAATGAACTTGCTCTGTCCAGAGTGCAGGAGATAGTTCTGACCGACCTAGGAATGTCACTTCTGACCATGCTCCCGATGAATAATTTAGCAGGACCCTGCGGCATTGGGTTTGATTGAAAAAACATTGGCGCATGGTCTGGGCAGCTAGCATCATGCCATGGCACCGTTAACCGGCTACGAAGGACACAGAGACACAAACCAGAAAACTGACACCTCGACCTCAATCACAATCCCAACTGCAATCCCGATGAGGCATGTTCCCAATTGGTTGGGGGAAACTTTCCTAAAGCAGAAGAGTAGTTCCTAATATAAAACCCCTCCATGCTGACATATAGGTACATAGGACCATTTGGGTTTGAACCGACTCCTAATACGATAAGGTAATCTAAACCGAAGCGCTTCTATTCAAAAGTTCACGAAGGCCTAAACCTTGCATTGCGGAACCCTCGACTCCGATTCTCCGATGTCGGTGGATTTTCGAAAAAACCGAACAGACACGGTTTGGGGGTTTAGGGCTTAGGGACATTAGGGTTTCGGGTACAGGGTGGGGTTTTGGGCTTAGGACGGAGGGGTTTAGGGTGTAAGGCCCTGGGGGGTTTAAGGGTTTGCGATAGAAGTACAGTAGACAAACAAGAACTCACCGAAGAAAACTGTCGACAAAAAACGCATCAAGCGTTAAACCCTAACCTACCTGCCCTGCAACACGGACAATCACAATACATGTGTCTGCTCTGGGTGAAAATAATACTCAATAAGAACAACAATAATAAAAGTAATAATAACAATGATTTAGCAGGCAGTAATCACAACAATAACATAGCAACATTGGTAAGGGTAAAGAAGAGCACGTGTAAAACCAATCACAAATACTCGTAGTATAGTTACTTCTAATGTCAGAAATGAGAAATCGTGCTAGCAAAACAGCTTCAATTGCAATCAGGATGCCTCCCCCCCCCCCCGCGAAAAAAACACCNNGGGACGCTGGCTTTGGCGACTGACGGGCTGCGGCATGCAACATGCGAGGCCTGGCATGGGTGCAAAGTGTAAGGTTGAGGGTGTAGTGTAGCGTTTAGGGCGTATGGGGTTTTAGGGTATAGGGTGGGTGGTTATGCGTGATGGTTAAATGTTGAGAGCTGTGGCGTTGTGTTCAGGCATGGTGGCTTTGGTCAATACGGTGTTCATCGCGGTTTCAGTGTTTGGGCTTCAGGGGGTGTGCAGGTGTGGAGTTTCCGGAAATGCTGCTTTATGCCTTTATGCCGAGGGGTTTGCGATTTGGGCCAAAGGCCAGAAGCAACTCGACATTGCTAGAAGTATTTTTTGACACGCAAGACAGTAATCTGTTGTCTACTCTGTCAGCCTTGGGCCCCCTTTCAAACCCCAACCCCCCGTTTTTCCCACTGGGCTCAAGGCGAGCCAGTTTCAGCCACTCCTCCCTGAACCTTTAGAGACGGCTCATACCCGTAGCAGGTTGCAGAGCCCAAACCGGACCACTTGAGATAACAAGGTACCTATGGAACCGTAATACTAGCGTTCAAACCTAATACTATAGGAAGCAGGATGGCAAAAGCAGCACTAGACATACAGACCTAAAAGTAAGACCCTAAACTCCTGAACTCTCCACCCCAAAACCCACGGGCCTCTCTGGGGCAGCCAGCCGATCGCCACGGCAATGGCCAAGCAAAGCTAAAGGTCTTCGGCGAACGTCTGTGTAATCTGGTGTGTTGACAGCTCCTACGAACTCCTTTGTAGCAGATATTTGTGCTACGTGTTTTTTTCGCTCGTGATAAGGCAAAAGCGTAGCATATAGCAAAAAGCGCACGAATACCGACAAAAGCGCTCGAGGCTAATTCTACCCCACTATGTTGTACACTTGATGATGCTCTAAACCCTAAACCCTGAACCCTGAACCCTAAACCCTCTTGCTATGTGGGAGGGAAAAAACCCTAAACCCTATATCCATTGCAAGGCAGGGGTCCTCAAGCAATTAGCCTTTTCGGGTTTAGGCTTTGGGCTATTAGTTTAAAGTGGGGCACAAAAGCTATGGGGGTTTAGGGTGTTCTCGGGATGATATTGCACGAATGCACACACATACACCCTTGCATGTCAACGACCTCACTGCGAACGACCATTCAGATCTTTTTCGCCTGGAGCTCAGCTCTTGAAGTGTCGTTCGAATAATCGCTTGTAGCCCATGAGCATTCGTGTCAGTGTACGAAGAGCCACCAACCTTGAGCTGCCCACCCTCCGACTGACCCTCGCCACTTTTCCAATCATGTCTTCATCTGACCAGCAAGCGAAGCCTCAGACTGATCAGCGAGCATTAGGCAGTATTTGTATATACACAAAGCTCCTTTAATTAAGCAAAGCCGGGAAGCAGATAGCATTGAGGCAATACTGGGGCGAAGATGCATTCGCTTGGGCACGATCAATCTGATTCTCCATGTTTTTCCTCGGTGACCGAAATCTTTCATTTGTCGACAAATATTGTTCAGGCTGTTCCACATAGAACTCAGGGGTGTGGGATTTAGGGTTCAGGGTCCAGGGTTTAGCCAAGCAGCAGTATGTGACCAAAAAAATGCACTTTGGGTCTCACTCGATACAGTGGCCAGGATCGTTCAGCACACCAGCGGGCCATTCCAAGATAGCCCTCCTCAGTACCCAGATAGTTAAATAATTCTGGATGGGAGGTACAGCTAGACAAACCGAGCCAGCGATAAGTACTCTGCATCCGTGCATCCACAAAGTTCCAGCCACACTCCACTGCCCGGGAGCCAACATCTAGAGGCAGCCAAACCCCGTGACCGTAGAGCAGAGTCATGCACTCGTTAGCATTCGAGAAAAGCCACAACAAGAGCTCCAGCCCTTCATTCATGTCCTGGGTGCAATGCAACCAAGCTTCGATTTAAAGTAGAATTGAGCAACACAGCTAGTATAGTATGCATGATAATTGCACCCGGAGAGCATCACCCTGCTCGCCTTTGATCAGAAGCAGTTTCGATTCGAGCCATTTGCTCAGCAAGGCGACGTCGTATGCCTTGCCACAGCCCGTCGGGTACTGCATCTGCCTGAGATGACTTTACAGTGTGTTTAGGGTTTCGGTTAGATTAGGATTCGGGGGTTTAGTTTAGGTGGGGGCTTTGTTTATCGATCTATTCGAGCCGAGGATTCACAAGAGATGCGAGGTTTTGGGGGTTACAGTAGAGGTTGAGCACAACTAGCCAAGTTGCGACTGAATCTTGAATGTTTTGAGCGAAAAGGATTTGAGGCTTGTTGCTTTATGGTGCTCGTCGCACCACAAGCGAAACTCATCAAATGCAGACTCCAGCTTCTTGCCGATTGATCCATAATTTCCAAAGCAGTTGTATCTACAGAGCAGCAGAATTGAGCTCCCACAAAGGTCTTTGCCGAAGCCTAAATTCATGCAATGCATGAGATCAGGTTGTATTCGCTTTGGATCGCCTCCTGAGGGAACCGACCGTAAAGGTGATCTCTTGTTTCGTTTGAATGGACTTGGGTTCGGTCCACTGAATGTGCGAAGCTGTCCATCAGGGCTACAGTTCCACCAATCCTTATCTGTCACAGAATGTAACAACCCTAGATAACAACTTAATCATATAGACCCCGAAAGTAGACGAATCCAAAACACATTGCTATATCCGCCTCAGCTTCATCACCAGGACACAAATGGCATTTGCGAGTACAATTAAATCCACAATTTAGGTGATAGGCTTTGCGGACATACGGCCAGTCACCCTTCGCCGCCACCAAGGCGATGAAGAAAACCATCTCCTTGCCCTCGACCTCAGCAGCGACGGGGAGAGTTAGGGATTGGGACAGACAGTATTTCGAGTATAAGGAGGGTTAGAATTGGGATTTGGGTTACATGATGGATTCCTATGATGTACATTATGGGGAAACAAGCCTTACCAATATTTAAAATAGCACCTAGCCACCTGCACCCTCACCCCGGTTTCGAAAAGCTCCGTGAGCTCCTCGCTGATCGCAGCATGGATGCCGTCGATAGACTTGTCGTTCGGGGCATAGGAGGATGCTGGAAGTATCGAGTGCAAAAGCCTCGTGCAAAGGCTCTGCCTTGGATGCTCTAGAGGGATGACTGTTCTCATGGTATGCTCATGATGTTTAAAGACCAAAGATGTAGAGGTAAGATCGCACGAGGCCCGTGAGTGTTGAGGCGATCCTCGCCAAGATAAGGCACCACACATTGAAAGTTCGTGATAAGGACCGGGACTTTGGCTAAGCCCCGGCCCTCATCCCCGTGTATGCAGATTGGAATCGTTTGGGACCGTTGCTGCTCGTTCTTTTGGGAGTACACGACGTGTTGTGGATCAGCCGACTGATACCTTTCCCAAAACCTCTTGAAGACATCTTGATAAGATGTGTCCCACACATGATGTCCAGCCAGCACGAACTGCCCTCCAGCTTCACCCAGAATGTATTTCAGCCAATCAGTGAGCCGTAGGATGGGGTAAGACACATCGATACATCCACCCCGTTTCTTGCGAATAGTCAGGGGTGTCGTGGAGATCGGGATCGGTAAGGTCTTACCCTCACGATGAACAAATCCATGCAAAGCCCGAGAAGCATTGTGGTACTTGCCATGCCCCAAACGAGCCAGTCGCTCCATCTCGGGGTCGACGACACCTGCAAAGCCGGTAGGGTCTTAGGGTTTAGGGTTTAGGGTTTAGGGCGGGTTTAGGGTTTAGGGTAGGGTCTTAGGGACGAGGGGGGTTGCGAATTTGGGCTTCATGGGTTTCTCGAAACTATTAAGTAGTCCACGGCCAATAAATATATATTGCGAGGATATAGGTCTAGGTTGGGCTTTGGGTTTAGGGTTTCCAGTTTCCTCTAGGGTTTTCGAGTTCGGGCTCTTTTTCCGAAGGCTTAGAATTTGGTGATACCCGCCTAGCTTTTTCATCCTCTTCGAAGCAATGGTAGCCGGGCGAACCACAGACTTTGCATCAGCCTCGTTTAGTTGCAAAAGCGAAAGCCTGGGACCCTGGGAATTAATTAAGAGGTAGAGATTGCACGAGATTGCAAAACCAAGAGACCCCTCGCTCCATATCCATCATCAAGGCATCTGCCAGGTCATCTTCAGAATACGAATCCGATCCTTAGGGAGCAAACCCGGGGCAACTAGTCATTGTGAACTGAACCCGAGGCGTGGACCTTCAGACGGCGAATCGGCTCCCGCGTGCGATTGCAGGCCGCCTGCGTGGAGCCATGGGCTAGTCTACTAGGTATAGGTTTAGGCATTTCGGGTTTATATTTACGGCCACTCAGCACCATGCAAGCATGCTCCTGTGCACGACTTTTTGTTGGCGAGCAGGGAGTCTGAGCAGCCTTTCATAGATCGAGACAGGACAGGCACTTTTGCCGGCCCACAAAGCATAGATTTGGGAACTCTGCCATGCCAGAGAGATCGGTGCATCTAGAGCAAGAGTATCGGTTGTAGTGGGGGCTCAGGGTCAAGGTTTACAGGGTTGCGACTACCCATATCATCCTCTGCATGGCTCCAACCGGTGCAATTCACCAAATGATTGCACTGCAGACATTTCAAAATCTGCGGGGCGATTGCTCCGTACTCAAGATCACTTCTTTTTTTTGTTCGGCTTCTCTGCCGAATCATCCTTACTCTTCTTGGACTTTCGAGAAAGCTCCGTGTCTTCACCTTCTTTCGGCGAAGCCTTGGGTGTAGCCTTCTTGGGGGACGGTTTCTTGGACTTCTTGGGCTTTTTCGATTTTTTCTTCTCAGTCATCGTACCGGATCTTCCGAGGTTGCTGCTGCTGGGCTTGAAGCTCCTAGGATAAGCAGGAATAAGAACAAGTAGCTTAGCTTAGGGTTTAGGGGCTTAGGGTGTAAGGGCTTCGGGTTTAGGGGCTTAGGGTTTAGGGGCTTAGGGTTTAGGGGCTTCGGGTTTAGGGGCTTAGGGTTTAGGGGCTTAGGGTTTAGGGGCTTAGGGCTGATTTAATAGGCCGAGAGTCTTGCCCCGGGCGATGTAATTGTTCAGGATAACATCGGTCTTCGTGCATTGCACGAACAAAGCCATGATCTCTTCCTTGAGCAGTGTTGTCTTCCTGGGTCACGGGACTTGGGTTTGCCACTGTGTACCTACATGTTTTCTTCATCCTGCAACCAAGATTCGTCCCGTCGCCGTCCGTGATAGCCTCGGCCTCTTTGTCGGTCAACTTCTTGTAGTCGCTGTTCAGCTTGTCCAGGAGAGACTGCAAATGGTTTGCAATCCTTGGCTAAGCTGCACATGTCCTACACGAGTAAGCTAGCTTAGCTAGACCCAAGGTTGAGCAGAGTGGCTCATCGGCCCGGGGGTTCTCCATCTTCTTCAACTTCTCCTATCATCAAAACTTGAGCTCATGCTACACAAGCAAGACAATTCTCATGAAGACTGTAGTGGTCTGTCCTGCTCCAAGCAACCATTCTCGATTTTTTTCGCCAGCACAGAGAGGAACGAGGGGAGGACAGTGAGAGGGCTGTCGTTCTTCTGCACTGTTGGAAAAACACACCTACGACAGAGAACAACAAACGGCGTGCAAGCACAGATCTCGCTCTCAGCACAACTAGATTATTTGCTGCCCGAAGGACTTCGATTTGCTCATGACACCCTCGGCAGGCTTGTGGCTGATAGAATCGGTTTCCGGGGTGGGGACATCATCCTCCAGCATGTAGGCATCCTCATCCTGAAGGGCATTCGGATTCTTTTGTTCCCGGTTACGATTTCACTAGGCTGTAAGGCTAAGGCTTAAGGGTTCGGCTTAGGGTTCAGGGTTTTAAGGTTCAGAGTTGAGGAGTTTAGGGTTCGGGGTTTTAAGATCCAGAGTTCAGGGGTTTAGGGTTTACCTAGGGTTCAGGGTTTAGGGTTGAGGGTTTAGGGTTCAGGGTTTGTGGCGTGGTTGTTGGCGGGTCCTGGTTCTGGATGATCTGAAGCACCGAATGGAAGCAGGTATGGGGTTTAGGGTGTGGCGATATTATAGGAATGGTAGGGAGGTGTTCCGAGATTCACGAGAATAACACATAGGAGCTAGGACAGAAGGTCCTCGACAGTACCTTCAGTCGTGAGTTCCTTTGTCGAACCTCGCTCGCTTCTGTTGCTGAACTTCTCCTCAATCACCAGTTTGGCTTCTTCCATCTTATGCACCTCGTTCGTTCTCAAGAGTCCCTTCGTGGCCGCCCAGGCGAAACTGTTGTCTGCCATTTGCCTCAGCTAGACTGCAGAGCCTAGTCGGATCGTTTATGATAAGACTTGCAATTGCTTGATGCTAGCAAACATTGCCTGATATCATGACATGGACTACCAGTCTACTGCAGCTAGGGGTGCTTTGTGTAAGAGCATTTCTCCATGAGATACTGCTTCGTCACCCACTGACGATTCTTCTCGGTGGCTTCTAGGTGCTTCACGTGCTTTTGCACCTTCATCTCAATCTCCTTCCAACTCGAGTGTTTCTCAAAGAGCTCTCTCAGCTTCTTCCCTTAGATAGCATTATACATACAAGACTTTTCTTGCATGTTGCCCGTGCAGCGAAGCCAACACCAAAAAGTCATAGCCGAGCAACTCCCATCCTCAGTCTCATACAACGAGAGAGCTTCCTTGGAAGCCTTGCACGGCCCAGTTCTGGGCTTGAAGACTCGTCGCATCCTGGGATGGAGTCGGATTCGGGGAACAGGTTCTTGATGTGGGGCTCAGGGTTTAGGGTTTAAGGGTTTAGGGGTTTAGGGGTTTAAGGATTTAGGGATTTAGGGTTTAGGGGTTTAGGGATTTGGGGTTTGGGTTTTGGCTGCATAATGGGGCACAGCTGGGTGCTAGATCACTCCATACAGGCTTTAGCTAAATAGGAATCGGAGATTTTGAATTACAGTACTAGCCCGTAGCATAGCACACCCTGGGTCCTGTAGTAGGTCTTGTCGAACTTGTCACGGCACCCTTTCGGACCCTTTGGGCTCTTCGGCTTGTCCCGAAACAGAGTTCGAGGCTTCACTTTGGGTGTGCCCGATTCGGGAACAGGTTCGGGGGATGAGCTCCCGGAAGGCTTTCCTGAGGTGCCCCCTCTCGACGAAGACTTCCTCTTGACAGGTGTTTTGCAAACGGCAGCTGCTGCCTTCGGAGGCGAGCCTGCTGGGCTGTCTGGCAGAGTTTCGCAGTACCTCCAAGCACTGTCAAAGCTCGAAGCCTTAGCCATAGCCAGTGGGACGGTGTCAGGGGGTCCTGCGGGAACTTCGGCTGGTGCTTTCGACTGAGTCACGGTTGCTGGGGGTCCTGCGGGAACTTTGGAAACTGCTGGTGCTTTCGGAGTCACGGTTGCTGGGGGTCCTGCGGGAACTTCTGAAGCTGCTGGTGCTTTGGGAGTCACGGTTGCTGGGGGTCCTGCGGGAACTTTTGAAACTGCTGGGGCTTCGGGAGTCACGGTTGCTGGGGGTCCTGTGGGAACTTCGGAAACTGCTGCTGCTTTCGGAGCTACAAGTGAGGGAACTGCTGGTTTCGTCGAAGTCAACTTTGGCACCGGTGGAAGAGATCGTTCTCTTTGGGCACCTGGCTTCAGACCAAACGACAGAACATCTCCAAGCATTAACAGACCGGTTTGAAACAGACCAGTAGGACCTGACTCCGGAGGCAGCGAAGCCGATCGCCCACCAATGCGGGACTGCAGAGCTGCAATCCGACGGCGTGTTGCCTGAGCTTAGGGTTTGGGGGCTTTAGGGTTTTAGGGGACAGGGTGAGGAAATAGGGCTTGGCCAGCACATGAATGGACCATCGGAAGTTCAGGGTCTGTGGCCTAGGTTTAGGGTGTAGGGTAGGGCTTTGGGTTTAGTACTGTAGACGTCTAGCTACATCCTGGCGAATGGAGACAAAGTAGTTCAGGTAGCAGTGTGTGCAGACATGACATGTATATGTATACAATATAGCTAGTATACATGCATAGACATATACATACATACAGACATACATACATACATACATACATACACATACATACACATATCTTATATATACATATATATATATAAATATATATATATATATGTCGTATATATATATATATCATATATATATATATATAATCGAGCCCGAGGGAGCCCTGAAGCGACCCAGCAATAACGAATCACGGGTACCCAGCGAATGCAGCCTAAGTGCTTCGACCTGTGCAGCCAAGCTCCCAGCATCCATTGTGCAAGGCAGCTAAAAACACCGAACACTAAGGCTTGATCTGATGATGATGAGACAACAGAGCTCCAAAAGTGCTCGAGAAGCTGCTTGAACGTCCAATTGCAGAAACCATTCGTGACATTTTTCTAGTTTGCGCCCGTTTGCTCTTTTTGGTGCGGATTTGCGCCCGTTTGGCGCTGAATTGCGCCCGTGGCTTTTGCACCCAAAACCCAAAAGTGCACGTAAAATGTCCAAAATTAGCCCTGAAGCCTTCAAAAACCCTTTTGGCTCCTCACTGGCAGCAATCGTCTCCAGAACACCAGTGCCGGTGGCAGCAATCGTCTCCAGAACACCAGTGCCGGCAAAGAGGTCCTGAACACCAGGCTCAACCCAACCCGGGCCCACCCCAATCCCTTCTAATTTGTCTTTCCAACCCAACCCGTGAAGCAGGCCGGAGGCCAGCCAGACCCACCCAGCCCCTTCTAGATTGTCTTCCAGCGAGCTTCGAGCGGCCTAGCAACCAACCTTCCTTCCTACCTACCTACCTGCCTACCTACCTACCTACCTACCTACCTACCTACCTACCTACCTACCTACCTACCTACCTACCTACCTACCTACCCCTCTAGTTTGTGGGGCCTGACGTGGGCCCCACAAAGTCGGTGCCTGCCTGCCTGCCTGCCTGCCTGGCTACCTGCCTACCTACCCACCTACCTACCTACCTACCTATCTACCTACCTACCTACCTACCTACATACATACATACATACATGCATACATACATACATATACATACATATACATACATGCAACACATACATAACATACATACATACATATACATGTGGTAGGTACATACATACATACATACATATATACATACATACATACATACATACATACATACATACATACACACATACATAGACATATGTACCGGCAGGCATATACACGGGCACGGGTATTCATGTGTATGCACACATGAACACCTGTGCAATGTAGTGTACATGCACACAGACACAGCACATGCTATGCATGTATGCACCATGTCCACAGTCTATACTGTGTGCATATACAAATATGTACAAACACACACATATATATATAATACATATATATATACATATGTGTGTGTATATATGTATATATACGAACACATACTGTGTGTGTTGTGACCAGCATGCATGGTGACCTCAGCTGTTGCAGGGCTTGCGGCTGTATGGCATACAACTGGTTTTGGTTGGGATGGGGGGCATAAAAGAGGGTGTAGGGTTAGGGTTTAGGGTGTAGGGATGGTCTGCACAAAAGAGGGACTTCTAGAGTCGGTGGTTTCGGAATCGCGGGGTTTCAGAGTTGGAGCGATCGTTCTTGGGGGTGCCAAGATCAGTTCATCAGACCCAGAAGCAAACCTAGATGGATATGGAGCCTGAGGAAGAAAGCTGCAACCCAAAGCCGAGGCCCTAAACCCTAAACCCATAAACTCCAAACCCCCAAACCCTAAATTTTGTGTAGAAAAAAAAAGATGCTGCCCCCAGCTGTTGCCTAGCTAGTCAATCACCGAAGAGGAGGGTTCTAGGGCTGCCAAACCCGACAATAAACTGAATCAACATCCCAGGGATCCCTTATTTCAATGTCTGAAGCAAAACCACCTAGATGTCCAGTGGCACTCAGCCCGAAACACACCAAGAGTCTTGACTCCCTAAAGCCCAGATTTTACTAGGCTAGTGGCTAGCTAAACCCGACAGACCATATACCAAGCTCGACCCGACCTCTAAACACCTAGCAGACCTATCACCCCAAACTTACCAAACCAGAAGTCCCACTTGAAAGCCCGGCCGTGCCAAGCGAAGACGACCATCCATCCCAGACGAAGAGCTGGTGTCACCTGCAGTGTGTTGGGGCTTTGGGGTTTTCGAGTCTAGGGTTATGAGGTATTATATAACCTAGCCAATATAAACTTATAAGTGGACTCGATGGTTACGGGAGTGTAATTAATATGTATATATATATATAAATATATATATATATTATACTAATTGAAATTATCTATATATAGTTCACTCCCCTAACCATCCTGTCCCTTTAGGGTTTAGGGGTTCAGGGGTTTAGGTGTTTAGGCTAGGTGTTTAGGAGCTTTCTGAGTTTAGAAGTTCAGGGCTTTAGGTGACTAGGCTAGGTGTTTAGGAGCTTCATGGGTTTAGGGGTTTAGGATTTAGGGGTTGATGGTCGCTTTGCTGGCTTTGGCGAACCTAGCTAGGAGCCAGCGATACTAAATCAAGGTATGAAAGATCTAAAACCCTAAACCCTAAACCCTAAACCCCAAACCCTAAAACCCTAAACCCTAAACCCTGAATACGAACAATTGCAAACATGTCGCCTTTGTTCATAAGCACATCCGAAGATCGATCCCAGCAGAAGTAAAGATATCGGTAAGGTTCTGGGCCAGCTTGTCGAATTTGGCCCACACTCGCGAATACATGGTAGTTTGCTGCTGTATGAGATCCAAGCCCTTCTCTACTTGGCTGTCAAGCACTCGTAGTCTGGAATGAATACGACCCACCTCCGATCGAAGAGCCTCGCACTCTGCACGTAGAGACACAACCTCTTCCCGAAGGCGATTGTTCTCCAAAGTCAGTGAGACAACTGCAGACCGTTCCACGGGCATGGTAAGATTCTAGCTAGCTAGGCTATACTATGTGTATGCAGCATGCATTAAGGGCTTTAGGCGTTTAGGGTTTAGGGGTTTAGGGTTTGGGGGTTCCCGGGTATAGGGCTTTCTTTATATAGGTTCAGGGATTAGGATTTAGCCAGGATTTCGAAGTTCAGAGTTTAGGGTCTGTGCTGTATAATTCGCTTAGCCAGACAGTGCTGGCTTGGGCAAAGGGCCGGTTCCTGAACAGGCAGATGTTGGCATGGCACACCAATACAGTCCCGAATGATTTGAACAGCACAGCACCACACTAGCTGCGACTGGCAGTATGGAACCGATGCTTTCAAGACTTCCTTTCAATCAGCAAAGCACTCAAAGTCACAGAACCTGTGCATGCACGGCAGGGCGGCGACCTCCAAGTGCAGCGGAACGGGCTGCCCAGCCCTCAACTCGGGGCATGGTTCAGTACCTGACTCAGGTCACACTAGGAAAATTGCTACCCGTCTTGTGTTGTGATCGTGATGGCTTGTCCGACTGGCAGCAGGCTGCAACCAAAGCTTTTAATCCGGCGGCTGCGTATCGTAGCAGACTTTGCATCGTGAAGAGCCTGCTATACTAAGCTCG